TCTAACAGGAGTCGCACCAAAAAACGGTTGAGACACCTAACGTTTTGCACCTAGTGCTTTCAGTCACAGCATTGATACTTGCCATTCACAACAGATATAGCCACAGGATCTAGTCGATCAGAGGTATTTAATCCAATGTGCCAAAAGTCAGGCTTGTCTGGTGTCCAGAAAACAAAATAAGGCTGTTAGTCTGTTCTGAATTCATGTTCCAAACTAGCAAAAATCAGGACCAGAATGTTTATTTAATGTTACCAGTAGAGTAATAGAGAAAGTAATCTTTGATGCGCTTCGGACATCAGATATTGACATATTTAGAGGTGCGAAGAGAAGAAAAATTAATAAAGGTGCCTTTCACTACCAATTATCTTCCCTTCTAGTCTGTTCTAATTCATGAATCTGAGAAGTCTTATTAGCTTATGGTAGCCCGATACACAGTTGTATTCTCTCACAGTCTTTCTGCCTACTATAGAGTTGAAAACTTCTTAATCGCTTATTCATGCACAAAGTGTGATAACAGGGATGCTTCTTAGCTTTCCTAGTACAATTAAGTATGAAAATACTAATGAAAGTACATCAGTTCAGAGGCTATTGAAAATAAATTATCCTCAGTTTGGGTTCTCATAAATGCATTTTGACATTTTACCACAAAATTAGCTACATGAAATCAGTAGGAGAATATGCAATTGAGAAATTAACTGTTTAAGATCAAAAACAATGTGGATGTCATTAAATAAATGGTGAGCCAAGATCCCCAAACAACACTATTATCCTTCCCTAAGTAGCAAAAAAGCAAAACAACAGGTATTCATACCTTGAAGAGGAATAGCCATAAAAACTAACCATTTTAACCAGACAAATTCAGACTGAAAAATGTGCAACTCAATTCAAACAGAATTTCATCTATAAAGCTACTCAGAAACAACAATTTAGGAACAACTCAACTAACAGATTTTCACCTTCTCTGTACTTCGGACACATACCAGACTAGCAGTTGAAAATGAAAAAATTAGGGCTATTAGTGAATGCAGAAGCCCCTCAATGCTACCGAAAAACAGCTTCCTACAATGTTACTATTGTTCTTTCGATATCAAGATAACTTAACCTAGGATACCTTCATGTACAGAAAAGCAACAACATTACTTCTTTGTGGTTGTTCACTTTATTTAACAGAAACATCACACTAACAAGAAAAAAAAAAACAAAAAAACAAAAAAAACCTTCCTCCCCAGGATAAATCCTGGCTATAAGATTACCCAAGTGGGCTAAAACTCAGGATGCACCTACGGACTTCTGTTCTACTGCAATATCTTGTACAATTAAGTTGCTATTCTAGGTTCTGAAAGACATATACACATTAGTCCTGTTCTGCTTCTTTCAGTTGGAAATCTCTACTTGCAAATTGTAAATGCATTACAAATAGCAGGTTTTAAAGCTAAGGATCACTATGGCCAAAAGGAAAACTACTAACAAAATTGTCTTATCAGGGCCTGCAACCCTGGTGACATATATAACCTGATATAGGTATGGCATTTAACACCAAACATCAGCATTTGCAAATTTTTTTTTGGTGGGGGGGGGGGGTGGATGGAATTCTTGTCCAAATTGAACAAACTATAAAAGCTAGATTCACCTCTATTCTCACTTGCCAGGGGAAGGGATTTAATTAAAAAAAAAAAAAAAGGCAGATTTTAAACTACCACTTCACAGTCCCTTCAGTCTGTAGTTTCTTGATCACTTGAAAGTAGAAGGCAACACTACTGTCAAAAATATTGATCCTGCCCTTTGTACAAACTTCGGTCACCCATGGACACCCCTTATGTTAGCACAAGTCTTCATTCAGCAACAGTGAACTGAATTGGGGAGTTGATCCGTGTTCAATTAATCAAGAAAAAAAAGAAAAAAAAAGAAAGAAAAAACAGAAAAGCCCTACCTACGGAGACCCAAAATTACCTTCACTGCTTCCTGACTTATGTCTCTGATTATCACAACAGAAGTGAGGATAAGGCAAAGCCATGTTTCAGGACCTTCTAGGAGCCTGCTGCCTCAAGGAGCCCAAGACAGACCAGACTTGAAATAATATTCTTCACATTTTTTACTGGTATCCAACTTTGGGATCAACAGGACATTCATTTGGAAAAACAGTTCTGTGGAAACTGTTTCAGGACGTAGCTGCCTGAACTGATTGAGGCTATCACTGGGACAGTCAAGGCTAAAAGATTGGTTCAAACAGTATCAAATACATGATCTTCACAGATCGTCCTCTCTTGCATTACAAGATTGTCTCTTGCCTGTTGAAACACACAGCATGATACAGTTGGCCCTTGATACGTAGGACACCTAACACATTCTGCTTGTGCTTCAAAACTCCAAAATCAGTTTGAGCTGTAAAACTGGCAAGAAAACCCTGGCAACCATCACAAGAACGGTACTATGCACAGAGCAACCATCAACTTCGCTGGACTGCCCATACTCAAAGCCATGAAATACAGGCCACAAGTAGCCACAAGCAAGGCATATCCATAAAGGCAACACAGTAAGCCTCGAAAATCTACGGGAAGCCATTCACCTGCTAGATAGTGAGGCCTGGCAGCAATTAAATCCAGAGGGATTTCAATTAAATCCCAAGGTTTTCATAGTGGTTTGGGGATAATTTTGCTAATTTACCACAAACCTAAGAAGCTGAGGAACATGGTAGCTGTTTGTAAAGAGGTGGATACTGTTGAGGCATGACATGGTTCCAGAACTATCTGCAGAACTACAGAAATCAGCTCTGTTGCATCTGCGAAGGATTATTTTCATTGGCAAACCATGGAAACTCCAAAACAGCAGGACTGTCAACAGTCTTCATTCCCACAAACCAAAAAAAAAAAAAAAAAAAAAAAAGGGGGGTGGGGAGGGGATTCAGAAATAGAGATCTAAAAACTAGCCTTGAAGTAATGGAACTATTCAACATGTTGCCCCTGGGGTACACAGAAGGTCAACAAGAAAAACAAAGCTGTAGATACCCTGCATCCACAGGCTGCTTCTGAGAGGTAGGAGCCCTGTTTTTAAACCCTTCAATCCTTCTAAGGAGCTTACATCAGTCACTACACTAAGCGATCACTGGGGGCTTAATTAAGCTCCCAGGGTGGG